ATAAAGTAATAATGATGACAATGTTCATTTCTTCAGGAGTTGACTCTATCGTGTGTCTCATCAAGAGCAATGACGCACAGTTCAGTTCTGCCTCTGCTGCTCCTGCTGGGCACGTGTTCGGCTTACACCTACCGTAAGTAGGATCTGGCTTTATCTATGGTGTCTTTGTTATAAAACACTGAAGTGGTTAACATGTGGTTTGCCATTTGTGACACCACTTGGATGTTTGGGCTTAAGTGTGCAGAATGATGTGTGTGCAGAGTTTGACACTAGAAGGCTGTTTTTACAATCAGAAAATAACCTCAGATTGTAAATCTAGTATGAGGTGATTTTGCGACATCACAACTACTTTGGAGACAAACATGGTGCAGTATGTATACTAATGTGATAAGGAAACCTGAATTATCCAGAGGAAATATACAGCAGAGAACTGACCGCTTTGTAAATAAGGTAATTGTTTGAAAAGGAAAATGCAAGTTTGTAGATTACAGATTTTTCATGGAGGCACAAAGAAACATTATTGCTGAAAAGCTCTATCAGACAACATTTGACCAATCAAAACTTGTCTGAGGAGGATTTTTTCACGACATAGTGTCAATAAAATATCCAGTGCTGTTGAATGGGATGCTATTTATGTGTAAATTAGCGACTGATTGCAAAAAAATGTACCCAATGAACTCAAAAGGAGGTGATATGTCAATGTTGTGTGGCCAAAGTGGCCAAAATAAAAATTCAGGTTTGTTGATTACATTTTTTTTTTCCATCCACCAAATATTTATTTATTTTAAATGTCTCATTCACAGAAAATGTGGCCTTGCGTGGAAAAGCAAGCCAGTCAGGGCGTCATCCAGACCATTATGGAGATGCAGACAGAGCTATTGATGGAAGCCGTGAATCTAACTATTATCATGGTTCATGCAGCGCTACTGCTGTGATGAGCAACCCCTGGTGGAGAGTGGACCTGCTGGAGGCCTACATCGTCACCTCCATCATCATCACCAACAGAGGAGACTGTTGTGTAGAATGGCTCGACGGGGCAGAGGTTCACATCGGCAACTTTTTGCAAGACAATGGCGCGGCAAACCCAGTGTGAGTGATCGCTCAGATGTCTTGATTACAAGGTTCACCCCAAGAAATAATTTAGCAGCATCCAGATCGTGATAAATTCGCTGTCTAAAAGAATGTCTCTAGAAAGTGTTAGAATAATGTATGACTCTGTGTTGCTACCTTTCTAGTACTGCAGTTATTTCAGCTTTATGTATTTCTTCCTTTTCCTTTCTTTTAGGGTTGGTGTGATTTCTCATATCCCTGCAGGCAGGTCTTTAGAAATTACTTTGACCAAACTTGTAGAGGGACGATACGTGACGGTGGTTGTACCTGGTTCAGGGAAACTAGTTGTACTCTGTGAGGTGGAAGTGTACGGGTACCGTGCTCCAACTGGTGAGAATTTAAAACAAAGCCACTTAATACTTTATTATCGGAGTGATAAATCCTCATCTATCCATCTATCTATCCTCATCTGTCTATACAGCTGCAATCACACCAGAGTTAAAACTCCATTAACTTGAATGAACAACAAAGGCTAAATGCATCATGAAAACTAATTGTCAATGCTGATGTTTGCAAATGTGTTCTGTTTGCAGGAGAGAACCTGGCACTCCAAGGAAAAGCCTCACAGTCATCACAACATTCAACGGGCAGTGCTTATAATGCCATTGATGGAAATCATGCCAGCGACTGGGCAAAGGCTTCTTGTGCACACACAGAAAAGGAATTGGACCCATGGTGGAGACTGGACCTGGGCAAAACCCACAAAATATTTTCTGTTAAGATAACCAACTACAAAGATTACCCTTTGTATATTAATGGAGCAGAGATAAAAATTGGAGATTCTCTTGATAACGATGGCAACAACAATCCGAGGTACAGTCCATTAACTTTATTACTACTGTAGCTCTTGTTATAATGGATATCACTATATTTGTAAACACTGTGCAGTAACTTGAAAATATCTCTGTCTTTAGAGAATCCATGTATTTAAATTGTCATTAACTATTTTCTTCTTCTGCTAGGTGTGCTGTGATCTCAAGCATCTCTGGAGGTTTCACGGAAACCTTCCAGTGTAACGGGATGGACGGTCGCTACGTCACCATCGTCATTCCTGGAAGAACCGAGCACCTGGCACTCTGTGAGGTGGAGGTGTACGGCTCCAGACTGGATTAGGTCTGAGGAGTTTCTATGTGCAACAATGATGTTTGACATTGATGTTAAGCTGATGCTCTACATGCTGTTTTTTTTTTTAACAAAGCTTAAGCTTCACTTGCTAGCTGCAGATGGACGGGAGTTTCAGCTTAGTAAACTTGAGCAACTCCATTGAAAAAGTAATCAAACTTGACAAATATTATGAACATTAACAGGTGAATTAATGTGTATTTCAACTGTCTAATTTATACAACATGTGGCATTGCGTGGAAAATAAATCAAGGGACATTATAATCAACATTGCATTAAGGTCAATCATTTCTAATTATTAATGGCCATCATTATCAGTGAACAGAAATCTAAATATTTCTTTATGCTCTTATATTTGTATTGTTCGTGTGTATAATGCGTAATGCGTCTTTCTTATTAGAATTAATGAACTACAACTACATTATGTTGTGAAATGTTGTGTAACAGAAGGAAAATAACTGATCTTTGAATAACATTTGACTAAATTAGTAAAAAGCGTCAGTTATGTTAGCAAAATTTAGAGGGTGTGGCTCAGTGGTATAGTAGGTTGTGTTAAGGAATAATTCTTCTAGATATCTAACCTTTTACTCTGACATGTGTTATCTCCTTTAAGGAAAGGCCTTGGTGCCATATGTGTTGTTGTCACCAGTGTGTGACCGGTCAACTTGACTGGCACGAAGGGTAATTGTTGTGAGAACACTGAAGCACTTCTTTATCGGTGTTTGTGGGCTCTAGGATGTGAAATCCTTGAGGCCATGAGCGTCGGACGCAGATGATTCAGTGTTTAGTCTACTCCTTCAGAGATGTTGATTTCTCTCTGTGAACCTGTTAAAAGGTCTAGCATAGAGAGAGGTTCTTCAGAATTGACGTGGCAACTCTACCGTGTGGTCAGAACCTCTGACTCTTTGATTTGTGATGTGAATCCTCCGGCCGAATACTCTGAATAAACCCATCAGTGTTTGACATCAAAGCTCCAACTCTCACCGTGTCTCCTTCCTGAGTCGGTGACTCCATGCATTACTACACAGAAGTTTCCTCCACAAATTGGCGTTGTCGGCAGGATACCAACAGATCTTCAGAGACTGGTAAGTGTGATTTCAAATCTACATTTGGACATTGCCTTACCAGAATCTGTGATTGACGGTATCCTAAAATTATCTGTGAAGCTAAGCGGCTGCGTTTCGTTTTGGTTAATGAACATTTGGGGCTAGTAACCCCAGGGGATCATCCAGGGACTCTGTCTTGGCTGGTTCCCTCTGTGTGTGCTGCTCGGGACGTATGTGCCGTGCAGGCATACACGGAGATGTTTAAAAAGACCTTAATGAGGGCAGCAGTAAAGTGGAACTTCTGTGTGAAATTAAAATAGAGATTTGTAATGAACAAATCGCCCAGATTCCGGGGGTTTCAGCGGCCAACACTAGCAGTTAACTCAAGCAGCCAGAGATATTACCCCCAGCGCCTCTAAAAAAAACACGGCTCCAGCTGCGGCTCCGGGTGTGTGTGTCCTCTGTGTGTGCTGCTCGGGACATGTGTGCCGCACAGGCAGCCGTTTTGCTGCTCGGGGCATGTGTTCCGCACAGGCAGTCGCAGGGATGCAAAATACCTCCCCGTATCTGCATGGGCTGGTGAAGTGAACTCAGAGGGAGAAAATCACAGCTTTTGTCTATAACTTTAACTCACACCACCGCCGTCTCTATTAAAAACGAGACTGTTTAAAAGCACTCTCGTGGCTTGTGGCCGTTTACGACGTGCTGGCCGGTGCGAGGTGCGTGCATTACCTGATGCGACAGGCTCCCTACATTGCTGGAGGAGCTGGTGTCGGTCAGGGGTGCATACATAAAATTATAGGCTAATTGATCATGGGTGGGCAGTGGTATGCAAGTGTAGAGCAAAACTGTGTTTCATCGTTGGGATGAACATGATGGGAGGTATATAGGCTGGTCGAGTAGGACTACAGTTAACTGTGTGGTTTCGGATAGAAAGGGTAGAGGAAAAAAGTCTATGTGCTCCAGATCGGGGGGGCATAGCACCACTAGAGCAGGGATAGTGGAGTCGCAAGAGGATAAGCTAGTTATTGCTCTTGGACGGTCTTCAGGCACCGATCTAAGGACTTGTGTACAAGGGTGGAGGCACGAGTCAAGGTGCCCCACTGGATTCCCATTGGGAGAGATCATATAGTCCCTACCCCCTCTGAAACCTCTTTAATCCGGACTAAATTGAGCTGGATGAATTTTGCTGTCGCACTGGTGTTTGTTACGAGTTCATCATGTTTGTTTGTCTGATTGTTTGTATCAGGGGTCTATATTGGTTTGTCTAACCGCCGTCTTGTGCATGTTTTGTAACAACTAATAATGAATCAGTCCATAGCCAGGGTAAAATAAACTAAGCTTTAGTTAACTCACCAAAAGTAAATGACTTGAGAAAGATAAATAATATATAGTGTTTTGCAAAATTCTGGTAGTATAGATGTGCTGCAAATGAAAATAAATAGCAAAAGAGTGTTTTTATGTCCTGCATCTGAGTGTGCAGAGGAAATGTAAACAAGAAGCACACTGTTCAGGGTGTGCGCTGTAGGTGTAAGAAGAAAATAAGATTATATTACTTTTAAGAATACATTCTTAAATTGTATTGCTGGTATGTTAAGATATGTTTGTGACCTTTTATAAACCCTATGCCCCGTCCTGCACCCTGAGACCCTCAGAGGCATCACTGCTGGTCGTAAAAACCTGCCTGAGGAGGTCAGGGTGGCAAAATCTGTCTGCTGTTTTAGGTCAATGTTGTATTATTTGTTTCATTTATTCTTAAATCTATGTATTGTATGGTAATAATGAAAAAAAAAACGTAATGTATTGAACACATTCCGAAACAAAGCTGATAAGACAGAACTTGACTCAGACATAATACAAATTATTGTTGAAACCTTTTGCGCTGTTGCTGCAAAATGGAAACTTTGTTGATTATCTGTTCCAACTGGCCACTGGAATCAGATAATTAATATAAGTTGAAGTTTAATTACAGTTTTAAATATAGTTTAACATTCTTTATTAAACTGCTTCAAATGATTTCTCGTATCAACCAATTGGTCTCCATAGACATTACTAAAACTCGAATAGTTGTTAAACTACTGACAAGTTTTCTGAAACCGAGCTTATGAACAAAAGAGTAAAGGTCGCTGGTTAAGCCAGGATCAATATATTTGTTGACGTTTTCATTACAGTGTGCATAATAAATGTGTTAAATGAATTGAGCAATTCTTTAAAAAGTATAATGTTGCAATCTCTTTACAATAAGTAATTACAGTTAAAAAAAATAGATGTTGTTTTCCAAGGGCCTCTCCTTCACAGCCCTACACTTTAAATCATGAGACTTTCAAATCATAACAGACAGAGATCGGTATCACTTTGTGTTGCAAGCCAAATCCATGTAAAGGTTCTACTTGAGTCCAATTTAAATACCATAAAGAAAGTATTGAACCCAGCTCAAGCTAAATGTCAAATGTATTTAATTAAGGTGCAAGTGTTTTGATTTATTTAAAATGTTCCAGTCTAGCTTCTTTCGAGTTCAGTCTGAGCAACAAATTGTTTCTCATAACATTCTCACTGCTGTCCCAAATGTTTTAACCTTGGGCAGACAAGCTGTTCACACACCCACACACACCCACACACACACACTTTGGATAAGTAGTCACCTTATCCACATTGTAAATTGTTGCCTTCTTTAAAGTTATTAGTAATTTAAGATTAATTATTAAATTAAATGTGGTACATAAGATAAAATAAATAAAATAACTTGACTTGATCATTTTGTTCACAACATTAGACCTGTCCTCTAATCTCTACTAGAATAAGATAAGTGTGCATGTTTGGATGTTTTAACACTCCTGTAATGTACCTAATCTTGATATCTTTTTCATTACAGAGCTGGGAAAATGGTGTATTGATTAGATTCTGATCCGTGCACGTCCAATTTTGACTGACTTTAGTTCTAATGTTAATGTTAATTTGACTTCAACCCATAAGTAATTATTTAAATTAACTCTAAATGTCACATGATGATGGATTAGTGTTCCACATTTCTTCCACTAATTTGTTTTACAATTAGGCCAAAGGTAAAGAGAGACATTGATGACCTTGTGTCCCTTTTGTTAGTACGTGGTTCCATTTTGTCTATGGCCTTGGACGGCTTCACTAAAAGTCACCCAGTTCTGCCCTGCTGCAGTCCGGCTGAGTGCAGTCACAGAGATGCTATGGCTGCTCTACATGACATTAATGGTCTGGTCTGAATGGACACCATTTCCTGCTCCCAGAGAGAATGACACTCCTCAAACTGAACATTACAGCCGTTGATACTGTCTCACATGGGTCTGCTCCCCCCCACTGAGCCATGAACTGAAAGCATGACATCTGCTATGAACACTTGGAAGCCTCCCTGTCACACCAGCACCAACCCTTGGGTCAGTCAGATGAGACTAACGGCTTCACTTAGGGCATTTGGTTCAGATACATGACTCTCGTTACCACAGAGTGGGTTGTTTTTAAGGCTATTCATACTGCTATGATGCCTGTAAGTGGGCGAGCTGGTAAAAGCCCCTACTATTGTTTCAAATAGGCCTAATGTCAGGGGTCGCTTAATGTCTAGTTCTACATGTATTCACATTACATAGACAATGTTTCCACCTGGTAAAACTAAAGGCTGCACAAAACTCAGGCTACAATACAACCATTCTGTTCTGCTCTAACGATTCAATATATAGATTCTACATCAAAACAATTAGCTTTTATTGTTTCCAATGATAATGTCACCTTAAGTGGAGGAATGCAAACCTGTTTTCAAATGTAAGGTTTTGATTTTGTTTGACATTTCTCAGTAATGACACCCTCAGACACCCAGTATCATTCATGCTATGCCTTCAGTAATAACTCAGATGTTAAAGGGATGAAACTTTTCCTCCCAAATCAGATATGCTTTGTTTTTCAACAAATGTATCAATAATATATGTTTATCACAATGGTTTTTTGTAAGCTGCACACAGGTGATACTGAGTCTTCTCGATTAATAGATTATAAACTATACCATGTTTAAATAGACTCCTAAGTTATTATTTCATATGTACCATATGTAAGAAAAGGGAGGGAAGAGTCAATTATATTGAGTAATTGATTTTATATTGGGTAATTTATTTCTCAAACCTATGTTTTATGGAAGAGACAAAATATTTCTGATAAACTAATATTTTATCAAAAGGTAAATGGTGAATTAATATACATT